AATTCACTGTCCCAGTCTCCGAACTGTGCTCCTGCATTGTCATTTTATCACAATGCCTTCTTATGGAGATTCTAAAGCCGGCCATAGATCGAATCTTAGTCGGTTCAGCTGAGATTCAAGCTATGTATGGGCAGGCTGATTGTACCCAAGTCGATCCATTGACCAACTTGGGTACAATCAGCCTGTCGGATTTTTAGTCTACGATTTTTGTCAGAGGCTATAGCCGCTAGCATTAATAATTATGTTCTCTTGGCAGGGATGGCTCCCCACACCCCCACCCCACTGAGAGTACACAATAGCTCCACCGGAGGGATTCCCCCATCACACTGACTGTGTTAATGGAGGAATTCAGCGATTTTCTGGTTGCAGGAAAGAAAATCACATGGTCTGTGGCCTGGCTTAGTGGCCTTTTCAACACGTTAGGCAGACATGGTCCATTGTTGTCACCACCATAAAAGCCACCCTAAGACAAAGCCATCGCTAGTGTGCATGCATATAGACAGGAGGAGGTTGCAGAAAATCTGGGGCACTAAGATGTAAAATATGAAAAAATGTAAAAACAATTATTTTATTAAATACAGATTGCAAAACTTTTGTGAAACCTTTATGAACTTTAACTAGGATGCTTTAGCCTATCTTGTCGAACCAAATATCACAATTCTTATCTTTCTTTTGTCACACAGGATAGCCCATAATGTTTAACCGTCACTTCCTTTTCTCCACAATAACCATCTTCACATTTGTCAGAGCTTCTAATGGGAACAAAGAGTTGATTGACCAGCTTGAGAAGTGGAATTACAGAGAAGGAGGTAAATGCACTGTTGTATATTTAAATATTTATATATTGCAGCTATTTATATACCTGTAGCTCTGAAAATGTATTCAGGCACTTTACTTATCGTAATTACACATCAGTCCCAGCCCTCAAGGAGCTTGCAATCTAAGTTCCCTATGTATAGCCCTGTTTTGGGGACTTATGAGAAATTACCTTCCCCAAACAGGATAGTGAACTAAACCTGTAGGTACAAAGGGGACCAGAACCCTTTCAAAGTCAGAGTGTGTTTGATAATAAAATTGGCTTGACCTACACCCAGGACAGGGCCTCTATAAAGAGAGGAGATTCCCTTCCTGGGAAATTAATCAGTAACCTAATCAAAGTAATTGGGAATTAGGGAGGAATTACTGCAGCCAATATATTAAATTACCCATAAGAATACAGACGTATTCCAGTATAAAAATAAAAGGAACTTTATATAAAATATTATAATAAAAGATTAATAATAGTACATACATCCATTGTACAAACAGGTAATATCAGCAAAGGGCGCAACAGGAGACCTGGTGGAATTTTGCACATTTACCCAGGTATCTATAGTTATTAATAAAGATACAGTGAAGGAAGTAAGTTTTTTGATCCGAAGATGATTTTGCCCACTCACAAGGAAATGATCAGTCTAAAAATCAAATGGTATGTGTATTGTAACACCGAGAGGCAGAATAGCAACAAAAAATTCTAAAGAAATGCATGTCTAACAAATGATGCACTGATTTGCATGTTCATGAGGGAAATAAGTATTTGATCCCCTATCATTCAGCAGGATTTCTGGCTACCAGGTGTCTTTCATACAGGTAACAAGCTGAGATTAGAAGCAGTCTCTTAAAGGGAGTGCTGCTAATCTCATTGTGTTACCTGCATAAAAGACACCTGTCCGCAGGAGCAATCAAACAATCAGATTCCAAACTCTCCACCATGGCAAAGACCAAAGAGCTGTCCAAGGATGTCAGGGAAAAGATTTTAGACCTACACAAGGCTGGACTGGGCTACCAAACTATTGCCAAGCAGCTTGGTGAGAAGGTGACAACAGTTGGTATAATCATTCGCAAATGTAAGAAACACAAAACAACTGTCAGTCTCCCTAGGTCTGGTGCACCATGCAAGATCTCACCTCCTGGAGTGTTAATGATCATGAGAACAGTGAGGAATCATCCCAGAACTACACGTGAGGATCTTGTCAATGATCTCCAGGCAGCTGGGACCACAGTCACCAAGAAAACAATTGGTAACACACTACACCGACAAAGATTGAAATCCTGCAGTGCCTGCAAGGTCCCTCTGCTCAGGAAAGCACATGTCCAGGCCCGTCTGAAGTTTGCCACTGAACATCTGAATGATTCAAAGGAGGACTGACTTAGAGAGGATCTGCCAAGAGCAGTGGGCCAAAATCCCTCCTGAGATGTGTTCAAACCTGGTGGCCAACTACAGGAAACGTCTGACCTCTGTGATTGCAACAAGGGATTTGCCACCAAGTACTAAGTCATGTTTTGTGAAGGGGATATATTTATTTCTCTCATGAACATGCAAATCAGTGTATAATTTGTTGGACATGCATTTCTTTTGAATTTTTTTGGTTGCTATACTGTCTCTCAGTGTTACAATACACCTACCATTCAATTATTAGACATTTCTTTGTGAGTGGGCAAACATTCAAAATCAGCAGGGGATCAAATACTTATGTCCTTCACTGTATCTCCAGATGAATTTTGCAGCAAACTCCAGTTCCAGTTTATTTGGTCTTTATACTTGCCTAATATTCCCTGCTTCTGCTCTGGGTCAATAATAGCTCCTCTATAGCAATATATGTGTTTTTTCTCTCTCTCTCTCTAACTAATTCCTTCCTCTTGGGTCTTTAAAGTAATACTAAAGCTATTTTTTTTTCAAAATAACAACCATGCCATGCTTACCTGCTCTGTGCAGTGCTTTTGCACACAGCATCCCCGATCCTCATTTTTTCAGGTCTGCTGCCAGCACTCCTCCCTCTTGAGCAGTGCCCGCAAAGGAAGTACTGGGGGCACTGCTGCATTCTCGCTCTCAAGCCTCTGCTCTATACGTCCATAAGACACATTGAGGCGTAGCCCAGCCCCGCCCCCTGATCTCTCCTCATTGGCTCACTGGCTGTGATTGACAGCAGTTGGAGTCAATGGGCTCCCGCTTCTGTCTCAGCCAATGAGGAGGGAGAGCCTCCATACAACTGAGGTTATTGTGAACATTGCTGGATCGGAGGGGGCTCTGGTTAGGACTGGGGGAGGCCACTGCACACAGAAGGTTTTTTACCTAGATAAAAAAAAAAACTTGACCCTTTAAAACCACTTTAATCCAGCCCTCCAGAGACAGGAAGTGATGTACAAAAATAACTGAAACCGGATAATAAGTGATATTAGCAACACAACCACTTACAAACACAGACAACAGAGGGCAGTAGATCTCTACACGTGCATATATACACCTACTAAGATTAAATTAGACATGAGCCAATTCATCTATTAGCATATCTCTGGAGTGGAGAAAACCAGAGTACCCGGAGGAAACCCTTGCAAGCAGAGGGAAAACATGCAAGTTCCATGCAGGTAGTTTCCTGGTTGTGATTCACACCAGGGATTCTAATGCAGCAAGGCAGGAATACTATGTTGTACAGCTATGTAGTCATTGTTGTTTCTAATTTTTATGCTGTCCAGAAGACTAAGCTGCATAATAACAAACACAATCTGATTAGATATATGTAACAGCTTCCATTACAAACATTTTGAGTAACTTGAATTCAGCATTAAGGGTTCTGAGTTGAGAGATTCAAGTGCTGATGGTTTTAGGGGTTACATTTTTACATAATGGGAGGTTAACAAATTGGTAATAAACCCTCAGCATTTCTTAATGTAACACATTAGGTGCAATAAAATAAACATTTCTCAGAAAACTGTTACAATTATTGCTGCAGCACTTGCAGGTTGCAACTTTCAATGCTGTTAGCTTATGCTGCTCTCTCCGTGCTGCTTCCCTGAACTCTTCACAGGAAAGAGTTAACAGTTGACAGTACATTCTCCAACCAGCCTGTTATATTGGTACATAGTAAATCAGGTTGAAAAAAAAGACACAAGCCCATCTAGTTCAACCAATGGAGAAAATAGAGAAATAGAAAACTTCCATATAGACAATCCTAGGCTTTCAGTAGATCCAGAGGAAGTTAAAATTTGCTTCAGTGGAGGAAAAAATCCTTTCTGGCCCTCCAATAGGTAATTGGATATTCCCTGGATCAACAATTAATTTGAAGGGTTGTGTGTTTTTTTATTAATATACACAGTGTAGGGAGACACAATTCTAGTCCCTGCTTGTCAGGGGGGCTTTATAGGATGCTGCAAGGGAAAGGAGACACCTTGAACCAGGAAACCTGGCAGCAGTTATGGTAATAGCTTAAGCAGGATAATAGGCAAGAATTAAAGATAGAGAAACTGCATACTCAGTAAGTGATTAAAACAGCTGCTGACGTGCTAAAAAACTGAGGGTTTAATATCACATTAAAGGTGGTGCTTTAATGTAGACTACACTTTATAAGTTTGTTGGCAGCTTCAGAATCAAGAGCCCAATACTGAAAACAGTGAGAGCTTCCTTGCATTGAGAACCATGTACTGCCCAATGTGATATATCAACATCCCCGCATCGTATTTATTATAGATAATAGAGAAAAATACAATGCTGAGTAAAAGACTTTTTGAACATTTCTATTCTAAGGTGTTCTTTTCTGCTTTTTCAGCAGGGAAAGTAAATATCCTAGGAACTCGCAGCATCACAGGGACATTAGAGAAATGGGGAAATGAGATCTTCAATGAAGGGAAAGATATTCTCATGTACCAGCCCCAAATCCTCCTTCCAGATTACACAGGGTATCATCTTTATTCCAAATGATAAAACAAAATATATGAAATGTAATAGAAAAGACGGTAAAAGTCCAAATGCATTTACTGAGAATCTGATTTAATGTCAAGTATGTTCAACTATCTGAACTATTGTCATCGCATTTTATCTGTTTTAACTTACAAAGGACTGGAGACATTTAGTGCTGGTTCACATATATGCAGATTGGATGCAATTTGAACGACATCTAATTTGCATGACGCATGCAATATAATATTGCTTCCTTTGGTGCCTGTTCACATATGTCTGGTGCTCTGGTGGTTGGGATTCAGTGCTGTTTGAAAAAGATTCATGTACGATTTCTAAGCAGTGCCTTCAGGTTCAGGTGCGGATTACAGGCTAATGACTTTTGTGGGAACCATTTCTAAACCGCATATGCATAAACAGGATAAGATCCTGACCTGATCCTGTCCTCAACCTGATATAAACATGACATTAACCACATAACTGTAACCGCATATGTGTGAATCAGCTATTATAATTGTGCCTTGCAGCAATGTATGGCACACGTGTTTTAATGCACATTACCACAGTGCATCTTAATGCACAGGTATTTCTGCCTCAATGCATCCCATCGCACATACAGTGGGGCAAAAAAGTATTGAGTCAGCCACCAATTGTGCAAGTTCTCCAACTTAAAAAGATGAGAGAGGCCTGTAATTGGCATCATAGGTAGACCTCAACTATGAGAGACAAAATGAGAAAAAAAATCCAGACAATCACATTGGCTGATTTGGAAAGAATTTATTTGCAAATTATGGTGGAAAATAAATATTTGGTCACCTACAAACAAGCAAGATTTCTGGCTCTCATAGACCTGTACCTTCTTCTTTAAGAGGCTCCTCTGCCCTGCACTCATTACCTGTATCAATGGCACCTGTTTGAACTTGTTACCAGTATAAAAGACACCTGTCCACAACCTCAAACAAGCACACTCCAAACTCCACTATGGTGAAGACCAAAGAGCTGTCGAAGGACACCAGAAACAAAATTGTAGACCTGCACCAGGCTGGGAAGACTGAATCTGCAATAGGCAAGCAGCTTGGTGTGAACAAATCAACTGTGGGAGCAATAATTAGAAAATGGAAGACATACAAGACCACTGATAATCTCCCTCGATCTGGGGCTCCACGCAAGATCTCACCCCGTGGGGTCAAAATGATCACAAGAACGGTGAGCAAAAATCCCAAGACCACACGGGGGGACCTAGTGAATGACCTGCAGAGAGCTGGGACCAACGTAACAAAGGCTACCATCAGTAACACACTACGCCGCTAGGGACTCAGATCCTGCAGTGCCAGACGTGTCCCCCTGCTTAAGCCAGTACATGTCCAGGCCCGTCTGAAGTTTGCTAAGAGCATTTGGATGATCCAGAAGAGGATTGGGAGAATGTCATATGGTCAGATGAAACAAAAATAGAACTGTTTGGTAGAAATACAACTCGTCGTGTTTGGAGGAGAGAGAATGCTGAGTTGCATCCAAAGAACACCATACCTACTGTGAAGCATGGGGGTGGCAACATCATGCTTTGGGGCTGTTTCTCCGCAAAGGGACCAGGACGACTGATCCATGTACAGGACAGAATGAATGGGGCCATGTATCGTAAGATTTTGAGTGCAAACCTCCTTCCATCAGCAAGGGCATTGAAGATGAAACGTGGCTGGGTCTTCCAACATGACAATGATCCCAAACATATCGCCCGGGCAAACGAAGGAGTGGCTTCGTAAGAAGAATTTCAAGGTCCTGGAGTGGCCTAGCCAGTCTCTGATCTCAACCCCATAGAAAACCTTTGGAGGGAGTTGAAAGTCCGTGTTGCCCAGCGACAGCCCCAAAGCATCACTGCTCTAGAGGAGATCTGCATGGAGGAATGGGCCAACATACCAGCAACAGTGTGTGCCAACCTTGTGAAGACTTACAGGAAACGTTTGACCTCTGTCATTGCCAACAAAGGATATACAGTTGCAAGAAAAAGTATGTGAACCCCTTGGGATTACGTGGAGTTTTGCATGAATTGGGCATAAAATGTGCTCTGAACGTCATCTAAGTCACAACAATAGAAGAACACAGTCTGCTGAACATAATACTACACAAACATTAGATGTTGCCATGGTTTAATTGCACATAACATGTAAACATTCACAGTGCAGGGAGGAAAAAGTATGTGAGGCCCTAGCTTAATGACTTCTCCCAGAGCTAATTGGAGCCAGGAGTGAGCCAACCTTGACTCCAATCAGTGTGATGATATTGGATGTGTTGCTGACAGCTGTCCTGCCCTTAAAAAACACACACCTGTTTTGGGTTTACTGGTTTCAAGAAGCACTGTCTGATGTGAACCATGCCTCGCAGAAAAGAGCTCTCAGGAGACCTACGATCAAGAATTGTTGACTTGCATGAAGCTGGAAAGGGTTACAAAAGTATCTCCAAAAGCCTTGATGTTCATGTGTCCATGGTAAGACAGACTGTCTACAAATGGAGAAAGTTTAGCACTGTTGCTTCTCTCCCTAGGCGTGGTCGTCCTGTAAAAATGACTGCAACAGCACAGCGCAGAATGCTGCATAAAGTAAAGAAGAATCCCAGAGTGTCAGCTAAAGACCTACAGAAATATCTGGCACATGCTAACATTTTTGTTGACACATCTACAATAAGGAAAACATTAAACAAGAATGGAGTACATGGGAGGACACCACGGAGGAAGCCATTGCTGTCCAAAAAGAATATTGCAGCACGTTTGAAGTTTGCAAAAGAGCACCTGGATGTTCCACAGCACTACTGGCAAAATATACTGTGGACAGATGAAACCAAGATTGAGTTGTTTGGGAAGAACACACAACACTATGTGTGGAGAAAAAAAGGCACAGCACACCAACATCAAAACCTCATCCCCACTGTAAAACATGGTGGAGGGAGCATCATGGTTTGGGGCTGCTTTGCTGCCTCAGGGCCTGGACGGATTGTTGTCATTGATGGGAAAATGAATTCCAGAGTTTATCAAGACATTTTGCAGGAAAACGTACGACCATCTGTCCACCAACTGAAGCTCCGCAGAGGATGGGTGATGCAACAGGACAATGACCCAAAGCATACAAGTAATTCAACAAAACAATGGCTGCACCAGCACAGAATACGCCTTCTGGAGTGGCCCAGTCAGAGTCCTAACCTCAACCCGATTGAAATGCTGTGGCATGACCTTAAGAGAATGATTCACACCAGACATCCCAAGAATATTGCTACACTGAAACAGTTTTGTGAAAAGGAGTGGTCCAAAATTACTCCAGATCGTTGTGCAGGTCTGATCTGCAACTACAGGAAACGTTTGGTTGAGGTTATTGCTGCCAAAGGAGGGTCAACCAGTTAATAAGTCCAAAGGTTCACATACTTTTTCCTCCCTGCACTGTGAATGTTTACATGGTATGTGCAATTAAACCATGGCAACATCTAATGTTTGTGTAGTATTATGTTCAGCAGACTGTGTTCTTCTATTGTTGTGACTTAGATGACGTTCAGAGCATATTTTATGCCCAATTCATGCAAAAACTCCACGTAATCCCAAGGGGTTCACATACTTTTTCTTGCAACTGTATAACAAAGTATTGAGATGAACTTTTGAAATTGACCAAATACTTATTTTCCACCATAATTTGTAAATAAATTCTTTCCAAATCAGCCAATGTGATTGTCTGGATTTTTTTTCTCATTTTGTCTCTCATAGTTGAGGTCTACCAATGATGCCAATTACAGGCCTCTCTTATCTTTTTAAGTGGGAGAACTTGCACAATTGGTGGCTGACTAAATACTTTTTTGCCCCACTGTATACAGAAAAAATGCACCTGCACTATGGCGCACCACAACAAACAGATGGTGCACTGTGCTGCCAGCAATAGTGCAGATTAGGTTTTTGTGTGTTGAGGGCATTGAGAGCCCATTCAAACTAAATGTATTACCACAATGTGCAAATGGGTTGGAAAGCTGAACTTAAGGCAAATATGAAAAAAACACCATCAGAAGATTCGAACAAAATGGCACCGCTCAAGACACTGAATTCCCTTTTCATCCGGAGAGGTGCCAGATGCTGACCAATGGAACGCTCCAGTAATGTCACTTCCTTTAAAAACTTTATTCAGCCGCAACCATCTCTACAGCTTGGGATGAATCACCTTCAGAGAAGGGCAGTTCTCAGGCAGGGACAAGCTGTATGCTGGCTGTGACCTAATAAAATGTTTACAAAGAAGTGACATCAGTGGAGTGAGGCTTTCTGTTTGCAGTATTTATGAAAAAATTAATACTGTTCTGCATTTCTTTAAAAAAATAATTATATGAATCAACCTAGCTAAATCAGTCTTTAAAAACACCTTACAGTCACCTCTTTGACAGCTTAACTTTAGGAGCAGAAAAGACAGCACAAATAGCTGATCAGGCTCTGTTATATTTACACGTGCTGACATGCTTACAGGAGGAGAGAACTGAGTGAGCAGAATTGATGACTTACTAGTTTGTTGCTGAATATTGTACAATCATCAGGGTGGGAATGGAAAGGTGACACCACCGCATCCCCAATCTGTAACATAAGAAGTGCACAATTAATAACCATGATTAATAAAGAAATATGTGTCATTAAATTAAAAAATGTATATAAACATAAAGTCTTTAATGAAGTTGCCAGCAAGATGCAGCAGTGTTTTCCTCACAAGAGGAATGCAAGCTTTAGCCCTCACGCTAGAACACGCTCTCAAGCAATTATATATATATTAAGCAAGAAGAAGAACCCTCACAGTGTAGTAGGATAAGAACTTCTTTAATAAAAAGTGATATTGCACTTACATTTAAGAGATCGCAGTTAGCGGTATACAAGACAAAATGCACGGCCATGGGACCACCCAACACACCCGTACGGGATGACATCACACTCTAGCTTGCGCGTTTCTCCATAATAGGTATCGTCTGGGATTGGAGGCTCAATTATTATTACACT